ATATTCTCCTCATACAAAGAAACGAGCGGCTTCTGAACACGATGCCGTGGCACGTTCTTCCACTAAATTTAAAGAACGTGCGAAGCAGGGAACATATTCAGCAAACTGACATTTCTCTTTGACAAGGCGCTCGTAATCCTTTATATTTTTCACTCTTATTGTCAGCATAATCATAATTTTCATCCCTACAACCAGTAATATCGATCCCATGCTCTGTTTAAAAAGTAAATAAACGTTCTACAATCTGTGCAGAACTATGTCCTTCCGTATCCAAAAACCTTTGCAAATCTTTCAGCTGGTCCAGAAGATAAAACATATCGAATAATTAGGGTCAGCAGATCAGTGTGACAAAAATCGGACGTTGAATCTAATGAAATCAATTAATATTTATACTTCTTAATTTCAGTTATAATTTCATCTAGTAATTTGGTACCAATTAATTTGATGAATTCTTCACACCCTCTTTGGATAGGTACGAAGTATTTCCTTTCCCTTTATTCCCATAAATATTCAAGAGCTGGGATAAGAACGGATCAAATTCAGCAATTAATTCCAGTATTCCTAAATAATTACCATTTTGCGAGGAACCAATTGTTTCATCACTGCCTCGAAAAGTAAGACCTCATTCTGCCGAACATTTTATGACCACGACGACGCGTTGCAGAACATTTCGCCAGTATTGTTTCTCTTTCTCAATTCCATCAACAATTGCTGAGTCTCTGCGTTCACCTTTCTTCTTTCGGGCTAACAAGGCAATGACGTTCTTCTTGTGTGAAACGCTTTCTACATGTCGGTTCAACATTAGATAACTGTTTTTCCAATCATCAAAGCCCTCTTTAATAAATGTAGTTGAAGAATTATCGGAAGCAGCAATTTTTCAAGAAAAGCAAAACAAACCACATTTACCCGGCGAGTAGCAGAGCCAATTTCTTTCCTGTTTTCTTTCATCAATTTATAAGCCTTTGAAAAAGAAAAATTTTGCAAAATCTCGTTTACTTTTCATTTTTACAGTATGTTTTTGACGAAGTAAAATCGCTATTATAATTTCGACATTCTTCACTTCCTTTGGTGATCCAATTCTTGCTCGTTTTCTGTTAGCTTGGATGGTCATTGTCCTAAATCGGTAGAGAAACTGCTGTATTCAGTATTTTCGTGAAGCTCTGTTTGTTCTTCAACTTGAGAATTTTCGTTTTCAATGTGCAAATTTTTGTTGTTATCTGACGAAACAAAATTTGAAGTCAATGGTTCTGAAAATTCATTTAAAACAGAATATTTACTTGAATTTTTGCAACAAAAAAAAACTTGTCAGTTTTGGAATTTTAGGTCTCTTGGTCTTTTATTAATTTCTCCTCCTTCACTTTTCTTTTAGTAGAACCAGAAGGATAGTGACGCCCAATATTTCTGTCACGACTTGCCACCTTAATCTAAAGCATAAAAAAATTCTATGCACATACTTAAAAATGTACAACTTTCAATTATCGCAGGAGTATATAAAATTGAAATATTGTAATTTAATATAAAAGTGAAAAAGATGAAATTAGTGATTATGAACAACATACAATTTCAAGCTGTTCCGGCTATTCTAAACGAAGCACCGCATACGTGCCTATTTCGCTAGTAAAGGTGAAATCGATTTTATATTGCCTACCAGGTACTTTGGGGAAAATGTCGACCTAAACTTTTAAAATATTCAAATACACATGTGAACAACTATTTATAAGAATATAAAACATTAACAGGCACATATATTCTTGTGGAAAAAATCATCGAAAACCGCTGAAAAACTCTCAAAATTGGTCTGAAAATCTAGGAATATTGCTCTGAAAAAAGTCTGAAAAGGATCCAAATGATAAGTAATACTTCATTAATTTCTCGATATTTGCGGCACTAATTTTACATCTATATAATATTTATTCATTTGAACATATAAATTAACTGAAGCCAATACCTACAATTACATTATATATTTAAATTATATAACATTATAATATGTAATCTATGTAAGAATATGTGTAATAAATTATATTACATATACCAAATAATTATTAAAATATCTTCATTTCTTTAATACGAAGGTCGTCTCAAAAGTAAGTTACATTACTGTGTTTTTAAATCAACGAGAATTTTGTTTTTTGTTTTTAAATAGTGTAACTTACTTTTGAGACGGCCCTTGTAATTTAATAACGTTACAAAGCTTACTTATTTTAAAGCTTGAATTTATGTTTCAACGATTTTAAAATTTCTGTGTGATTTAATGAAGAGTAAGAGTGATAAATTCGATAACGTAATTAAAATCGTGTGGATAAAGCTTGAGTACTCAAAGAAACACTTCCGCCATAAATACGAACATAAGACAATCAACTGATTCTTTCCTGATTTTAATTTATGAACTAACCAATTATCCAAAATATTAATAAATACCTAACGGTTGTATTTTAAAATTAAAGCTAAACTTTAACATTATTTATTTAAATACACTTTTCTTTCACTCTTTTTTTACAGTACGTTCACAAATTTCATAACGGCAATTTTTTTCTTCCTCAGTGAGAATTTTTTTTCCTCAGAAATAGCGGAACCTATAGCACATGCTGCAAATGCTAGTATGATAAACTAGGGCTGGGCCAGGGACTAAGTGCCGTTAGTATCTGGGCTTCCCAGACGGTCACCCTACCAGGAAACTGCGGTGAATCAAACTACTTAACTCCCGTGACTTAACGGCGAGCTTGAAGTTCGGCTATCGGTGCCGAAATTGATATGCACAAGTTTGTTTTGTTTGTTTGTTTTTTTACAACCGCACTCTGAACATCCTTTGTTTCCGACAATATTTACTTAGCTCACCCAATCCATTGCCATTATACTCATTACTTACATTGCTTACAATACTTACTTAGCTCACCCAATCCATACATTTTATGCTGCGCCTTAATTGTCGCACCTCACGAAAACCACAATTGTTTCGTTGACAATAGATTTTATCAAATGAAGTACGAATGCCGCAGTTCCAGTAAGTAAACTATAGTCGTGCTTATTTCAGTCCAGATTTATTTTGGTAGATGACAATATTTTAAAACGGTAAGTTTGCTCAGAAGCTTCATCAGTTTGGCGGCCAATGAATGTTAAGAATCTAGAACGATTCAAATACAAATACATCTGATTTTTAGTTAAAATATCTACAAGGTTGCACGATGACTTGGAGAGCCTCTTTACCAAAAGCCTTATAACATCAATCCATATTCTCAGGTCAAAAAGGAAACATTCAGAGAATCAACAAATTTACGGAAATAAAATGTTTTATTACGTACTAGTGGACGTGGCAATGGTTTGCTAAGTGTATTGCATGCTACTGGTCACGTAATGGTTAATCACGTGTAACGCTACGTTCTGCAAACGTTTTAATACATGAAAGACTTTCTCGCAAGTATGGGTTTGTTGAAGGTCCTGGTTGGGAAATGGTTATCAAGTATCCTATTGTTAATACGTTCTTCCATCATGCGCTGACATGTCTTGAAGAAATTTGATTCACTTGCCCAAGATAACGTTCAAGTAATGCTTCCGGCCAATATTTCACACTCGCATGGTCAGAATATGCGGCGAAGATATGCTTAATACTTAAGGGTGCGGCGGATTGTGTAGTGTGTGTTCAGGAACGCTTGAGTTAGAATAAACGCATAAAATCAACAACGTTCCTATTGTGCATCTGTGTGCGACAGACATACGCACTTTCCCATTGTACTAAGCTCTCGTATTCTTCGCGCAAGTGCAAGCAATAAGTTGACTAAGTTATATCGCTATCGAATAAACGGTAAGGCACCGCATAACGTTCGAACAAACATTGATTTTTATGTATTAGATCGACATTCGGCTAGGCCAGTACTTGCCAACTCAATGTGACGTCACAACAATCTGCTCTCCTGTCCCTTCCGAGCCGCATAGCAAAACCAGTGCCGGACGCGGCGCCGGACGTGTAGTGTTCCAATGGTGGTACGGAAGTGGGAGAAAAAGGTTCGCTTTAAATGGTAATTATTATTTAAGTGTTTACGATTTAATAAAAATATGAAAAATTAAAAAAAACTAGAACGTAGATTATTTCATAACACAAAGCAATATCCGACTCTATTTATCGTAAAAAGTACTGTAATTCCACTTCCATTCTTCTAACACATAGCATTTTTAGAGAAGACAGTTTTAATATTCTAATTAAATATTTTATACAACGTTATATAATATAACAATTTTAGTTCGTCCTGATTCGATTACACAGACACACAAAAGAAATTAAAAAAGGATAAATAAGGGGAAAAAAAGTTCCAAAGACTTGACACATGTTTCTCTATGTATGTCAACGCGCTGATTTCTAATCTGAAGCTACAATTACCCCACCACCCTCCAGTTTTTTTAATGTCGAAAAAACGACGAAATTTACAACTTCACGGTGTTTTTGACCTTTTTTTCGATTTAAAAAACTGGAGGGTGGTAGAGCAATTCTGGCTTCAGAATCGGATTAAGCGCGTTGACATACATAGAGAAACATGTACAAAGTCATTGAGTCTGACAACATTTTTATTATGTATGCCTGCGTAGTTCATGTTAAAAAATAGATAGAAATAGGTTCCCGGGAGGGGTCACGTGAGAGAATTTGGACTACTAATGACCTATGTGTATGTGTCTACATGACTCCTTCCAAAAGGAGCCGTGGCCCCCTTGTGCGCAAGTGTATTATGATGATAGTGATACAATAATAAAGTGTATAATTTAATTTTTTAGTTCAAAAATGCTTTGCCTTTAAATTCCGGCCGTTTCCTAATGCATATTTTGATTGATTAATTGATTTATAACGATACTAGTTTCGTCAACGGATAAGGTAGTTTGTCCGTTAGTGTAGTGCATGTTGTATAGTGTTAGGTGGCGGTGATCTACCGTCGGATTGCGGTGTTACCTCCGGTCAGGTATCTCCCACCTGCGTGACACCGCCCCTGCCGTGACAAGTTGGGGGACTGTCTCCTGAAGTGATGTGTGAATAGTGTAGTGCAAGTGAGAGTTGGTGTGCGTAATAAGGGGTGAGGAAATGACTAGGAAGAGGAAGGAAAGATCTCACGATTGTTAAAAGTACTGCTCCTTCATTCGCTGGCCGTTAGAATTCTCCAGATAGCAGCTGAATTCGACCTAGCAATGTATTACTGAAGTGAGTGTCGAAAATCCTTCCAGGCCCCCTAGGACCTCCTGGTCAGAAGCGCTGCAAATACATCATTTGATACTCCGAGCCACCAACCACAGTATAGCTATATACGAAGGTTGCAATAATATAAATGGCTGAAACCCATAAATAAGTGTGGCATACTAAGTGGGCGGACTCTTTAACGGACGCACTCAAATGTCAATTAAAAAATAAATATTTTATACAATATATCGTAAGGGATGTTATTCTTTTTAATCGCCGAAAAACTTTAAAAACTGATTAACAAGGAGGTGAATTTTAGAAACGTTCCAGGTCATGACAAATTGAAAGTGCCGCGAGTAAATCATTGGTCGTGATTGGTATGTTTAGAGTAGACGGTAAATATCATCATGGTCGCGCCGGCTGTGAGTGTGACAAGCACTCAATGATTGAAAGGCTAGGTTTCGTGAACGAAATGTTTTCCGCGTGGATTAGTAGTTGCGTCTATGATAAACGGTAGCATTTCATCGTTTATTATTTTCTTTAGAAAAACGAAGCATTTAACTTTCCTCTACTCTTCTGTATAAGAAGTGAATATATTTTCATATAACACTACGTGTCGTCATTGAATCTGATTTACTTTAGTTTGTGAACTGTTTTACAGCTTGGTTTTACAACACCAATGGAGTATTTTTGTGTGAATGACAATGAATTAATGAGTTCTTTCATGGTGTAGCATTTAGAATTACATTGTATGTACATTTTGCCACTCCTACAAATGTGATGGCTGTTACTTTTGTATTAAATAGGCTTAAAGCATTGTTTTTTATTGTGGTCGATATATTTAAACGGGCATTATGCTGTTTCCGTCGACGAAGGCGAAATTCAGGCGAACCAGTACCACTAACTGATGTTGGAATTATTCCTAATAAAGAAACCCATGGCCTTCAAGAAATTAGTGTAAGTATATTTTTGGCAGTTTTACCATTTAATTTTCCAAATTATAAATATGAACATTTTGAACCCCCAAAAAATGTATATAGAGAACGCCTATAATGCAATATTAATTGAACTGAGTTCACATTAGGAAGACAATTGCTTCTGATAAGGTATTATCATGCTCTAAGAGATAATATAAAAGAATGTGTAATGCAATCAATAACTTTCTTCCCACACTCATATGTATATGATTAACATTTAGTTGTGGGTCATGTAGAGAATGATTATTTGAGAACACATCTAAGTCAATCTTAATTGCTAAAATAAACTAAGTTCCCAGTCTCATATCAACTGCTGATGCTAGTAGTCTAGTATTTTCAAATTATGTTCTTTTAAACACCCTTTCAGTCTGGCGACTTACAAAGTTGGAATTCTTGGGATACCACTCCATCATGTGTAGTTACTGAGCATTCTCCCAAGGATATAATTCAACAAAAAATTGAAATGTACCGCCAGAAAACTACACAAGTAACAACGGAAGAGGAAACTGAACCACAGCCCGATTTCTTTCAGGTAAAATAGAATTGATTTTTTTTCAAATTATTACTAACTATATTTATTAACAGCATAGACACAGTACTGCTTTCAGCTCAGTAAAAAACATTCTTTCAAACTACATATGTATTTCTAGGATATGACTCCAAGAATAACAAAACAGCCAAAAATTATTCTGAAAAGTGATGCTGATGGTCCAAGTTGGAGTGATACAATATCAACTCGACTGAGTGCGGATGGTGTTCCTTTGCCTGTTAGTATTATCTCTCACTAATACATGGTAGTCCCAATAGATTTGAGTTAAGGAGAAACTATTGGAGTAGTTAGTTCCGTAGGATATGAAATTTATTTTCATGTGTAAAGAAGTGACAGAATTCACTCTAAAATAGAGAGTTAATTTGTTCTTGAAATTGTGTCTTCAGGGCCCTGAATTAGAAACTTGGGAAGACACTCCAGGCTGGGAAGATCAAACCCAAGATGAATGGGATCCTGATACCATTCTAAAAGAGAAACGTCAGCTAGAAAGACAACGACGCCTAGCAGACCAACAACGAAAAAAAATGGAACGTGAGAAAACAAGAATGGGTAGACCAGTTACTCTTGGATCACGATTAAGTTGATAGAAAGTTCTATGATGTTCTGGTGTTATTTTGATTGGAGTGAAAACACTGCATTTTTTAGACTGGAGCCAGCAGTAATGCTACCAAATAACAATTTCAAGTTTGTTAAGTGATGCACTGTAAGAAAAAACTGAGCAAAATGTTTTCTTTGTTCCTCTTGCACGTGAAATTGATGAATAATTAATGTGTGTGCACATGGGCTGCTGCACTGTATGTACTTACAAAATGTGCTAGTAAAATTCATCATTAGCTCAAGAAGCTAGAAGACTTTGGGTATGATTTGGAGGGATTTACTTGCATCTAATTTTCAAGATTGTTGTCAACAAAGCACATTTCTGAGGAAAAGGAAAAGGAGATGGCAACAGATTTGTCATTTTTGACTGCAGAGAAAAAGGTCACTTCATGGTGCAGTTTTATGCTTATTTGGACCATTAGACAATTATCGATATTTGAGTCATTTGAAGAATTTTAATTATTGTTATAGTAGTGGAGTAGAATATTTCTGAGAACAAATAAAACTTGCCAGTAAGTGCTTGTTGTCTTGCAAATATAATTCATATCTTCTAAAGTTTTACAAAAATGTTACAGCAGGTTAAATTGTAGCTTGTGAACATAGGGGAAATGGTATTAATCAGTTTTCTGTGACAACACCTAGTAAACAATAGAAAAGAGAGAAAACATTTAATAATTTGAATTAAGGAGAATTTTTGCTTAGTGTCTGCCCTCCCCTTCCTATTTTCCATTACAATCATTTTCATGAAGAACTAGAAATGAAGCATTCTGTTTTTCAGAGCAAATGAGAGACATTGCTCTTGCCTGTACACTTCACAATATCATCAGTTTTTGAAGTTATGAGAAAAGAAATGGTTTTCATTATTAAAATTTTAAGTGGCATTTGAATGTATAGATAAATTGACATAGTTTTGAAACATGAAATAAATGTGTATGTGCTACACAAATTCATTATTTTAAGTGGGTTTCAATCTGAAAAAATGACATTTTCTGAATAAATTAGTCTCTGGTTCATATTCTTTCAATAAAAAATATCCTTTTGCAACATCTGTTACAACTGTATTTCACTCTTTACCACTATTTAAGTATTTCATGTGTCTCAGTGAAGTTTCTTTCTCTTCTGCTAAAAGAACTGTTATTGGCATCAAGATGTCTGAAGTTTTTCTCTTTATATTTTCCACAAATTGATGTGTAGAACTTCCTTTGTATCAAATGTTTTGGAATATGCTACAATAATTCATGAATTGATGTAAAATTAGAATTATCAAGCATTCCACCAATTTAAAGCTGCATGTTTTAACAAAGGATTCAGTCAATAACTATTAGTTTTGTATCAATTATAATGTATATGTTATGTTTCACAAAATTATAATTATGATTATTGCATAAATATTTTCAAAACCAATTGTCCTGTACAGTAATTAATTTTCAGTTATTCAAAACTCAGTATGTGCAGATAAATTTCATGAAGAATAGTGTATAACAGGTTTTAGAAAATAGTGAAAAGTTATTAAAAATTAATTTCAGTCATTGCAACTGGTGAAAGTCTACGTGTTGAATGAAAAATCAAACAAGCAAAGAACTTGCTGTGCTGATAAAAGATAAGGTAATCTTATCAGTTGCCCACAAGAGTTTAGGATGTATGTGTATAAAAGGTGGCTGGATGTAAGTCTTGAAATACCAGTAGTGATAACTTCTTTCTAAACGTTCATTCAAATTAATATCAGTATGACCCTTAAGTTTTGTTTTGATTTTTAAGTTGGTAGTAATAATATAAGCCAAGTAAGAAAATCAAACCACCAATACCAACCAATTACACTTAAAAGTTTCATTGAATTCTCTAACGAAGACACACGAATCATAATAAAGAAAAATCTGTTAGTAAATTATTATTTCTTTTTATTTCAAACTTTTTTTGAATTTAAATGTTACAAAGTACAAAACAATGCTTTTTGTCAAAAAACCATACCCACACAATTATTTCATACTCTCATAAACACTCCAAATAATGTTTACTTCGTGACTGGAGATTCCACCATTACTGCAATACAGTGTTCAAGAAACCCACAAATTTATACAAAGATTAAAATACTAAGGTTCAATCAAAGTAAATGTTTCAATACAATCTAGTAGCCATGTAACAGGTAATGACTTCACATGTGTCATATTATATTTCAACTGAGGTTCATGTCGTCCATGTTGGTATATAATATAATGAGAACATTTGGATAGACTTCCTTTTGCATGATAAGGAATTGTACGTTCATGAGCAGGAATGGCTTCAGGATTTGGTTCTCGAGTAAGCACTAATCCATCACCACTAAGAACGAGAGAGGAAAGATGGGCCTTTGTAAACTTTATTTCGCCAATGGTGATTTTATCAACACCAGAAAAATAGAAATGACAGCCATTGAAAATGCTTGGTTGCTGGAAAAAAAAAAAAAAAAAATTAAAATGAATTTATTTTTTTGAGATCTTATTATGAAAACAAAAAACCCTTGAAACAAATAGCAAACAAACCATTTTTTCCATGTTTTCTCTGCTTCGTTTAGGAGCAAAACTGTTTTGAAATCTAGCAGTACCTGTGAGTTCTTGTTCTGAAGCATCCACAAGAGCATTGCAGTGTAAACAGGAAAGAAGCCCTAGTTCAAGAAAGAAAAGAAAAAAATTCAAACCAAGTACTGATAAACAATTACATCAATTGTCAATAAGTATCAATACATCTTTCTTAAAGTTTTGAAAACAAATGTTTCCTTCAAGAGAAGAATCAATTTACAGATTTATACAAATGGTGTTCTCTATTTCCTTTCACGTAGCAAATATGCTAATGTACTTATCTAGTGGAATTACTTACACGTTGAATCTACAATCCATTTGCCTCTAAGTATCCCATGCAATATATCCACTGCAGGGGTGCAGGTTTTATTAGAAGGAACTACGATGTGAGTAACATCAGATCTGCCAATAGAATGTTACATAGTATATTAAAATTGAACAATATCAATAACTTATTTTGTATAACTTCAATATAATTTATATTTTAAATGCTATACCCAGTAAAATGTTACATTCATGGGTAATAAATGCACTTTACCAAAAGCATATGCTAAAGTTTCTGGCTGTCTTCATTCATTTTCTAAGAAGCAAAATAATAAATAAAACTTCAAAAATGAAGGCTTTACAAACTTACTTGTAAGAAGAGACTTGTTTAATATGAAATTGTTCTGAAACATTTTTCAAATATTTTATCTCTTTTTCAGGAAGGTTAAATCCATACAAGATAATCTCTTGCCACCGATGGAGATTTTTTATGCTTCTTTGAACCATTTTGGTGGGATTGTACTCTTTCAAAACATGTTCCATGTCTTTTGTTTGTGCCATTGCTCTTTTCATGTGGAAATTGAAAACAATCAATAAATATAATATGCACATGTCTCACCTAAGTCTAAGAATTCATATTCCTTCAATGAGAAATGACAGGTTTGAATGGAAAGGGGGAGGGGAGCTCAACAATAAGACTAGTTACTTACTGAGGGGTGTAACCTTCTATATTTTGCAAGAGAGGATTTGCTCCATATTCAATCAATAAACGTGCAGCTTCCAAGTGATTATTAAGGGCAGCATCATGAAGAGGAGTGTTATTGTAATAGCCAGGGACATTAACCAAAGCTCCTGCTCCTAGCAGTAGTTTCACAATTTCTGTGAAACCTTTGGATACTGCTTCATGCTGTAAAAATATCGTAAAATATTGTATTAGCGGAAACCTATAATTTCCATGTCAAGTGATGAAAAAATATAGAAATTAAGAACTACATCACAAAAACAACAGTTCATCACTAATCAAATACTTTATCAGTTTGAAAACAGTTGTGTTGTTTATATTGGCCATGCTCTGAATATTTATCATAATGTTCAACAGTTCCATCCATCCTAATTCAAATTGGGCACTTTCAAGTTCCATTTCACATGGGTACCCAACTATTATTTTTGATTCCCATGTTTGCTTCTAGGGACTCACCAACCAACCATTTCGAACATTTTATCCACTACTTATGGCATTCTCCAGCTGAACAAATAAGAGATCTGATTGGAATAGGAATTGAAGATTTCCTTTTGTCAGACATTTAGCTATGTTCCTTGTACATGTCACACTGCATGCTTTCCACCATCCCCAGCAGTGTTGACCCTGCTTGCGTGACACAGCTGACACCCCTGACCCCTGACACAGCATGTGTTTAAGTAGTCACTGAGTAATGATAATTTATGAGTAAAATTAGCACCGTTCTTACCCACAATTGAATGAGTAAGCACAATATGGGGCGTTCATATAATCTGGTAACACATTTGTTAATTTACTGCACAAAAACTGTAAATGACACAGCTTTCATATGTATGTCATATAAAAGAGGAACTCAACTAGTTTTTTTCAGAAGTTACAGCAAATGTTTGTAGTTTCCGGATTCGCCGTAGTTGGACTTTTTTAAAGATGACTCCTGGTGAAGAGCATGTATTCTGTGTGCAGGAATTTTTCAAAAACAAGAATGCTACAGATATGCAATGAAAGTTGAGAACTTAATATGGCAAAGAAGCACCAAGATTGAGGGGAGAGAACGATCCTATTCCAGCAGGTCTGAGCCCCAATTCATTACCATATGATATTTGTGAATTTATGAAAAGCAAGCTACCTTAGCGGTGGATCAGACGACTTCATAAGGGAATACCTCAAAGATTGTGGGTAAGTGCCACCTTTACTACATAATCTACAGAAACTCAACAAGCTTAGGATTGAAAAAGCTGCCACCACTGTAACTGATGTCTATGCTTCAAAGAGTATGGCAAGGGTTGTCTTTGCCATGCACAGTTCTGAACTTCCATTGCACATCTGTAACACTAATTTTTAAAATTTCAACATCCAGGAAGAATACTCTTCACCATTTTAACAAAATGCTGATTATGGCAACAAAATAAAAAAAAGTTTCACATAGCATTGAAAAAATAAAGTTCATAAAAATCACTCAATTTTCAGGTTCAAACAATTTACAAATTTGAAAAGGAAATGCTTACACAGGTAATCCATATTAGACACAGTTCTTACCAGAGGAGTCCAGCCAGCATTATCCTTAGTACATGGATCTGCTCCAGCACTGAGAAATTCTTCTACTTTCTTTGTGTCACCCTGGCATTGAACAAAATTAGAAAGTTGGAGACAAGTCAAACATTTTCAATAAAAGAGAAGGTACACAAATACACTTTAAGTAAATGAAATATTTACTTTCACACATGCTGTGTGAAGTTTTGTTTCTCCTTTTGAATTGCGTTTCATTATTGCTTTTATGTTTGCTGGAATTTGTGTCAGTTCTACACATTTCCTTATACTCTTCGAATCATTAGAAATGACTTCTTTGATTAGATTTGTTTTTGATTGTTTTCCAGCACTTTTGGCTCCTTGTCTGCTCACACTTGAGAAACCAACTGTTACTTCTTTATTTTTATTTTGTATTGCCTTGTTTTCTGGCTTTTTGAAATCGTCAGATGACACTCTGTAATCCTTAATTCCTTGTGCTTCAACACTTGCTTCAGTGCACCTTTTGTCAAAAGTTACCATTTTATTTTCCGTTTCCCCATCAGAAACTCTGTTTTCAGTTGCCTCAACCCTGAATAAATCAAGAAGGAAACAGGAATTTTCATCACATATTTTTTTTTAATATCTCTAAAAAGCTCACACTTGTTTAAATTCTAGAATGTACCCTGTGAAAATGCTTATTATTTTTGTGATACTTCGGAAAAATTTCAAAGGGTATCATTGTATTTAGCTTCACAATTTAATACAATTTTGGGTTAAAATTTTGTATACGGTACACCATTAGAGAAGCGTGGTGGCGGGGCGTAAGCCCTAATTACTGTACATGCTCTAATAGAAATGAATAAAACTTACGGATAGGCGATTTTCATGGTTCGCCCTTCGTATGCTTTGTCCCCGCCGCATTGTAACGCCAATTTACTTTCAAAGGCAAGTTTTCTCGCTTCGCTCGCCCGGATCCAAGTCATGGCGAAGCTTGGGCCTTCGGCCCTCGCCTCACTATAAACATCTTCGAGTCTTTCAAACGCATAATTACCAATTCACTTTTATAAGACATCACTTTTCAAGAAAGCCTCCAGAATTCCAACTGCCTAGTTAACACTGGAACGGTGCAAAGTGCCGGTTTAAACGACTTCCTTAGGTTGTACCGTAGACTACATTTCAGCCCAATTTTGTTGCAAAATCAAATTAATATGATATGGAATAGTATCTATTGACACTTTTTATATGGTTACTTCAAATTTTTGTAAATCCAAATTTTGAGCCTGGGTTAAGTGATGTCTGTTAAACTTAAATCTATGAAGAGTTTCACTAAAATGCACTATGAACAGTAGCAAAGTGAACTATCATCCACATACACTATTAAACAAACAATACGTTAATAAGACCACCATTTATTATGTTGTGCTTGTGCATGTTATTGGGCTGTCAGATCAACAATCTGAATTTTGTGAAGTCAAACAATCTGAATTTAGTGGTAAACAAAGATTCAGGAAACAAAGAAATGAATTACTGTATCACTGCCTTAGAGACATATGGAAAATTTGGTCATATGGAACACGTTATGCTGGACTAGAATTTGGTGATAATTTATGCAGTTTATAAAATAAATGGAGCTATTAAATTTCATATTGTCGTTTTACATCGTAAGATTTTTTCATAAAATTCAATTAACGAAAGAATGAATACTTACGGTTTTTGACAGATAAGATGTTTAATTGTTTTTGCAGCCTCAATAATTGTATTCACCTGGTAAGCTGGGGTGGTATTAGACTGGGAATATCGTTGGCCACAATCTGGGCAAGAGTCAGTTTTAGCTGAGTAACAGGAACACAAAAGATACCCACAATCTGAATGTCTTCGAGGATTTTTACAGAATTCATTGCTAAAAATAATGTTTAAGTATTAAATATTTTCTACACTTTTAATAAATATATTTAATTACGCCATACAGTAATAAAATCACAAGGATTATAATCACACTCCAAGAAAATATTAAAGGCGTATTTTATAGCATTCTTACCACTTTTTACAAGTCAACAACTTTTCCAAATTAGAAAGAGCTTCATTAGATTTCTCGAATCTGAACACAGACGCAATATCCATTCTAAATATCTCCACAAAAACAATTCAAATAACTTGTGAATCTGTTCAAGTCTTACACGATAATGCCTCACGCAGTTATCTAAATGACAAGTCACTCCAAAAGACCTTATATCTTATTTCCCCATTCACATGAAGGGAAAACTCTCCCTACAAGGCCCTTCCGAATAAATACAATAAATATTAGTTAGCCAAGTAATCAATGTACAATAACAGCTTTTAATATTGGAACCACTGACAGTAGTGTTAAAAACTGGCGGGATCTGGGACAGAAGTCGAACAGGCGTTGCATCGCCAAATACAATTACACCAACATACGAACTGAAAATAATTAAATTTATTTGGTTAAAGATTTTCTTTCGTGCAGTAACTTAATATACATGTATGTGTGACAGGTACAGAATAATCATATTTATTTTATATATTAGTCCTCAAATTAAATAAATTGTAATTTTAATAACAATTGCAATTGAACGTTAGCAAAGAAATCTGTCGCGGATAACACTTGCGCGATCTGTGGCGCGCGCAGTTCTGCACGGTTCTCCTCCACGGGTATTAAAAAAATACCTCCACGTTAGCGTGGTTGATCTTTGTCTTTGCAGTTTCTTCGTTAGTCGTCACTAAATATTATTGTATATTTTTTGTGTTTTCATGTTCAGAACACTAGTGTAAATAAATGATCTAATAAACTGAAAATTAAGGCTTTTCTACTAAACTTGAATCGCATTTATTTACTATTCTTTTTAATGTGTTGTGTTTGCAAAGAAGCATAAGAAAGATTTGCATAGATCGCTACGGAAGATGAATGTGTTAATGTCAACGTGCATTATAAACAACTTCGAATGGAGCAAGTGAAGAATAGAATGCATTCAATTGTAAAACGATAAGAAATTTATTACAATGCCGGTCAAGATGAAGTCTTGAATGCTTGTATTCCTGAAGTTGTGTTAACCTGAAAGTGTCGACGTTGGAATTGTGTTATAACTCTTAGATGGTCAACTGAAATGAATGACCAGAGAATATTTGCATAGAGAACTTCGAGAACTATACCAGCGTACGATGCTACTTTCGAGTGTTGTCGTTTAATAACATTACGAGGTGTGATTCTGACGAGTATTATCAGTAATAGGGTTACTAGGCTCAACTGTTACGGAACATCCTATCCAAATTGTTTTACTATTGCTGATTTGGAACTATGTGCGTAGGTGATTTCATGCCATTGTACTTGATAAGCCAGTGGGAAGGATAGTGCAATTTAATTGTTTTGAAATCAGTTGTAATCAATCAGAAATGTTCTTAATGTAATAGTATTTGTCATAAGTGGCAATAAGTGGATAGAAATACTTTTGAAGATGCCGGACATAAAAGTTACACCCCTGGGTGCTGGACAGGATGTTGGCCGCAGTTGCATTCTGCTTTCCCTTGGTGGTAAAAACATTATGTTGGATTGTGGAATGCATATGGGATTTAATGACGAACGTAGATTTCCAGATTTTACATATATTGCACCAGAAGGACCCCTTACAAGTTATGTAGATTGTGTTATAATTTCCCATTTTCATTTGGATCATTGTGGAGCATTGCCATACTTCACAGAGGTAGTAGGATATTCAGGCCCTATTTATATGACACACCCCACCAAAGCTATTGCACCTATTTTGCTTGAAGATATGCGCAAGGTGGCTGTTGAGAAAAAGGGAGAGAGTAACTTTTTCACTTCACAGAATGTTAAAGACTGTATGAAAAAAGTAACTGCTGTGACACTGCATCAATCTGTAATGGTGGATAGTGAGCTGGAAATAAAAGCATACTATGCCGGCCATGTTCTTGGAGCAGCGATGTTTTGGATTCGAGTAGGTTCTCAGTCTGTTGTGTATACAGGAGATTACAACATGACACCAGATCGACATTTAGGTGCAGCTTGGATTGATAAATGCAGACCAGATTTATTAATATCTGAATCTACATATGCAACAACCATTCGTGATTCAAAGAGATGTAGGGAGAGAGATTTTTTGAAGAAAGTGCATGAGTGTATCGATCGTGGTGGTAAAGTTTTAATTCCAGTTTTTGCCTTAGGTAGGGCACAAGAATTATGTATTCTTTTAGAGACCTATTGGGAAAGGATGAATCTTAAAGTTCCTGTGTATTTTGCTGTTGGCCTTACTGAAAAGGCAAATAACTATTATAAAATGTTCATTACATGGACTAATCAAAAAATCAGAAAAACTTTTGTGCAAAGAAATATGTTTGATTTTAAACACATAAAACCTTTTGACAAAGCATATATTGATAATCCTGGAGCAATGGTTGTATTTGCTACTCCAGGAATGCTTCATGCAGGCCTCTCCCTTCAAATATTCAAGAAATGGGCCCCGAATGAAAACAACATGGTTATAATGCCAGGATTTTGTGTAGTTGGGACAGTGGGACATAAAGTATTAAATGGTGCCAAGAAAATAGAATTTGAAAACAGGCAAGTTGTAGAAGTGAAAATGTCTGTGCAATATATGTCTTTTTCAGCTCATGCAGATGCAAAAGGAATAATGCAGTTAATTCAGTATTGTGAACCAAAAAATGTTATGTTAGTACATGGAGAAGCAGCAAAAATGGAATTCCTCAAGGAAAAAATAAAGAAGGAATTTAGTTTAGATTGCTATACACCTGCCAATGGAGAGACATCCATAATTAATACATCATTATGTATCCCAATTGATGTGTCACTTCGCCTTTTAAAAGCAGAATCAATGAAACATAATGCATTACCTCCTGATCCAAAACGATCAAGAGTTATGCATGGTGTTCTTGTGATGAAAGATAGCTCAACCTGCCTAATGGATGTTGATGAAGCGTGCCGTGAAGCAGGTATTAACAGACATTTTGTTCGGTTTACTTCTACTCTGCGAATGGAAGATCCAGGACCTTCAAGTAAAACTGCAGAAAAACTATTGCAACTGATTAAAGCACGCTTGAAAGATTGGCATGTGCAACTTACAGATGGTTCCATCTCTGTAGAATCTGTTCTTGTGAAAGTAGAAGGTAATGAAGATGAGCAGAAAAGTGTGTATGTATCTTGGGATAATCAAGATGAAGAATTGGGAAGTTATATCCTTGGACTTCTCCAAACAATGGGTCAGTGATTGAGACTTGTATTATGCTGTGTAATATTTGCCTATGTAATAAATTATGTGACTCCTTTTTTGTCCTAACCTTTTTATTTGTTATTTTCTGCCTATTGTAGTCTGTTGAATGAGAGATCGAGTGGCATTTGCACATTAAATTTTTGGGTTGTAATCAACGCGTACATCTTTTTTTTAATGCGGGATCAGGCCCGACCGATTTTTTTTCTAGCGCTATTTGCCTCGTGCAGATCAGGTGTGACCAAAGATAATGGACCAGGATAATTGCTTAATTATAAAGATGTATTTGTTGAAGGTCCATCTAGGAAGAATAGACATCGAGTAAAAAGAATGTCGAATTTGTAAAATATCACGTCAGTTTTCATAGATGGGCTAACATTTTTCCAGTATTGCGACAAACTAAAAGATAATCACGTTCCAGAAAGTGTGATAATTCTTTGTCAATTAATGTTGCCAACCTTCGACCACATTGCAAAGTTGAAACCGGACGTTCTGCACGGAAATGTTGGCGATTTTAGCTCTGGCTACCAAAACATGAATCCAAAGTAATATTGGAACGTGTTTATGCTTGTCATGTGTTGTAAAAGTATGCATTTCAAAATGAGTTCCCGTCTGGACAATAAAAACTAAATTTAATTAGAACTGCATAAATGTGGCGTTTTCAATTGCGTCAAGCGTTACAAGCACGAAGTCGAACAGACGGTGCGGCGAGATCAGATAGTAATTGCGAGTGGATGCCAGAATGTTGCGTTGATGGAGGAAAAATATACTTTTGATTTCTTGTATTAAATAATTGTTCAGTGAAATGACTACAAAGTGGAAGAGACCCGAAGGGGGGAGATTGCAAATCTCTCAGGATATGGAAGAGTCAATGAGCCAGGAATTAGCAGGTTAGTAAAAGTTCGATAATTTTGACAGTCTTCTTGATGTAGTTATTGAATGTTTCTTCTTACTTGAGCAACGAGCAGATTCCACTTTTTTATTAATTCTTGTAGATTTGGGGATGCTGGAGCAAGGAATGACTTTCCAAGACAAGAGAGATCTTCTGAATGTGGTTAGGTTGTCACAAAAATCAGCCCGGGCGGAAGAAGAAGAACGTAAAACAAAGGTTTAGTGTATTTCCAAGAAGAAATATTACGATAAAACGATGTCTTACTTTAATTTAAGCGAAAGTGAAACATTTTCATGAATTAGTTTGAATTATCTTTTATCTGTTCTGAATTCTGAAATAATGTTTGTTTTTAGACATGGTCTCCAGGCTCACATCTTAATGATGTGCTTTCTTCAAATCCTACTACTTCCAATGAGGTAGTTGAAGGCAACATGTGTAAAATGAAGGACATAGATGTTGATGGGGAAGAGGGTGATATAAATCAAGATATCTTGTCTAATTTGTCAATGGCAGTCTCAGATTGTGATAGAGGAGATCAAACCCATTTAAAAAAAGAAAATTATTGTGCTCCAGCAATAGAGTATTTTGGAGGCATTAGTACATCTTCACATGATTCTGCTGCTGATTTGAAAACCAAATTATCCCATGTCAATTCCCCAAATTCACCTGTTACATTGAGTAGTAAAGATAGTGAAGTTGGAAGTGTGTCTGGTGATACAAGTGTTTTACGAAATGGTTGTGAAAATGAAGAAAATGATGGTCCAGCTAGAGAATGTGCAGGTTCTGATAATGAAAATGAACATGAAATTATGTCTACCTCAGCAAAGGTGAAACAGAGAGATTTAAATATTTTGAAAAAGAAGAAGGATGATAGAGAAAGAAATATAGATGTATTCTCACATTCCAGTGAAACTGACAGTCATAACTTTCTTAGGAACACTGTAAATAAAAACCAAGATAGAATTCCCTTTTATTTTGTTCCAGAGGGTATGAGTTTGAGGAAGTACATTGCATATTTTAAGTGTTGTGTTAATCAGTATTATAAAAATTTAGCAGTTATTCAAAGAAATAATATAGAACACATAGAATGGGGGGCTCCTATTACGATGGATTCAGGATTCACAAGTTTTCATTCTGGTACTCTAGATGGTCATGGTGATAGTGCATCAAAAAGATATAATTTTCGTGATAGATACCCTAAACCAAAAATGATAGATTTTGCCTCTGAGAATTCTGAAGATGCTGAAGAAGATGAATCAAACGATGAAGACATATTTACACCTCATCAT